CTGATATGATGGGGGATCCCCTGATGTGTAAGGGGCACCTCTGATGTGTAAGGGGAAGCTCCGATGTGATGGGGGATTCTCTAATGTGAAGCGGGCACGAATGATGTGATGGGGGCACCTCTGATGAGATTGGAGACCCCTGACGTGAAGGGTAATCTCTTATGTGATGGGGGCACTTCTGATGATGGGGCAACCTCTGCTGTAAAACGGGCACCTCTGATGGCATAGGGGGCATCTCTGATGTCAAGGGGGAGCCTTTGATGTGATAGGGGGGATGTGATGAGGGGACCTCTGATATGAAAGGGGAACCTCTGATGTGATGTGGGCACCTCTTATGTCATGGGGGACCTCTAATGTAATGGGGAAACCTCTGATGTGATGGGGGATCCTCTAATGTGAAGGGGGGATCCTCTGATATGTAAGGGGCACCTCTGATGTGAAAGGAAAACATCCAATGTGATGGGGGACCTCTAATGTGAAGGGGGCACCTCTGATGTAATGGGGGACCTCTAAAGTGATAGGTCACCTCTGATGTGATGGTGACTTCTGATGTGATAGGGGAACTCTGATGTAATGGAGGAACCTCTAATTTAATGGGGCCACCTCTGATGTGATAGGGAACCTCTGATGTGATTGAGCACCACTGATGTGAAGGGGGGACCTCTGCTGTGAAAGGGGCACCTCTGATGTGAAAGGGCGCCTCTGATAGGATGGAGCAGTACTGATATGAAGGGGGAAGCTTTGATGTGATGGGGGGACCTCTGATGTGATGGTGAACCTCTGATGTGATGGAGGGACATCTAATGTGAAGGGGTACCTCTGATGTGATGGAGGAACCTCTGATGAGATGAGGGACCTCTGATGTGATCTGGGACCTTTGATGTGAAGGGGGAACCTCTGATGTGATGGGGGCAACTCTGATGTGAAAGGGGCACTTCTGATGTGACGTGGGCACCTCTTATGCAATGGGGGACCGCTGATGTAATGTGGAAACATCTGATGTGATAGGGGCGCCTCTGATGGTATAGGGGCACCTGTGATGTGATGGGAGACCTCTGATGAGATGGGGGGGGGGTGGCTCTGATGTGATAGGGGAAACTCTGATGGGATTGGCGAGCGCTGATTTGATGGGGGACCTCTGAAGTCATGTGGGAAGCTTTGATGTGATGGGGGAACCTCTGTTGTGATGGTGAACCTCTGATGTGATGGAGGGACATCTAATGTGAAGGGGCACCTCTGATTTAATGGAGGAAACTCTGATGAGATGAGGGACCTCTGATGTGATGGGGGACCTTTAATGTGAAGGGGGAACCTCTGATTTGATGGGGGCAACTCTGATGTGATGGGTGACCTCTGATGTGATAGGGGATATTCTGATGTGATGGGAGACCACTGATGTGAAGGGGGAACCTGTGATGTGAAGGAGGCACTTCTGATGAAATGAGGGACCTCTAATGTGATGGGAGACCTTTGATGTGAAGGTGGAACTTCTGATATGATGGGGGTACCTCTGATGTGACGGGAGACCTCTGATGTGATCGGGGGACCTCTGGTGTGATGGTGAAACCTCTGATGTGATAGGGGATCCTGTGATGTGAAAGGGGCATCTCTAATTGGATGGGGGCACCTCTGATGTGATGGGGGACCTCTGATGTGAAAGGGGCACCTCTGATGTGATGTGGGCACCTCTTATGTGATGAGGGGCCTCTGATGTAATGCAGAAACATCTGATGTGATAGGGGCACCTCTGATGGGATGGGGGCACCTTTAATGTGATGGGGGACCTCTGATGTGAAAGGGGCACATCTGATGTGATGGGGGACCTCTGAAGTCATGCGGAAACCTTTGATGTAATGGGGGAACCTCTGATGTGATGGTGAATCTCTGCTGTGAAACGAGCACCTCTGATGTGATGGCGGAACCTCTAATGGGATGGAATGGGATGAAATCATGTGGAGGGGAAACCTATGGTGTGAAGGGGAATCCTCTAATGGGATAGGGGACCTCTGTTGTGATGGGGGCACCTCTGATGCAATTGGGAAATCTCTGAAGTAAAAAGGGCACCCCTGATCGGATCGGGGGCATCTTTTATGTGATGGGGGCACCTCTGATGTGATGGAGGATCCTCTGATGTGAAAAGAGCACCTTTGATTTAAAGGGGGCATGTCTGATGTGATAGGGGATCTCTGAAGTGATGAGGAAAGCCTTTGATGAGACAGGGAACCCCTGGTGTGATAGGAAAACATCTGATGTGATGGGGGACCTCTGATGTGATGGGGGAACCTCTGATTTAATGGGGCCACCCCTGATGCAATGGGGAACCTCTGATGTGATGGGGGTACCTCTGAAGTGATGGGCACTACTGATGTAATGGGACAACCTCTGCTGTGAAAGGGGCACCTTGATAGGATGGGGGATCTCTGATGGGATGGGAAGATTCTGATGTGATGGGGGCACCTCTGATGTGATACAGGAACTTTTGATGTGATGGTTGGCTTCTGATGTGATGGGGAACCTCTAAAGTGATGGAAGCACCTCTAATGTGATGGGGGAACCTCTGCTGTGAAAGGAGCACCACTGATGTTATGGGGGACCTCTGATGTGAAAGGGGGGACTTCTGATGTGAAGGGGGAATCTCTGATGGGATGAGGATCTCTGATGTGATGGGGACTTGATATGATGATGGGGGCACCTTTGATGTTTTGGGGATCGCTGATGTGATGGGGGAACCTCTGATGGGATGGGGCCACCTCTGATGTGATGTGGGCACCTCTTATGTGATGAGGGGCCTCTGATGTAATGCAGAAACATCTGATGTGATAGGGGCACCTCTGATGGGATGGGGGCACCTTTAATGTGATGGGGGACCTCTGATGTGAAAGGGGCACATCTGATGTGATGGGGGACCTCTGAAGTCATGCGGAAACCTTTGATGTAATGGGGGAACCTCTGATGTGATGGTGAATCTCTGCTGTGAAACGAGCACCTCTGATGTGATGGCGGAACCTCTAATGGGATGGAATGGGATGAAATCATGTGGAGGGGAAACCTATGGTGTGAAGGGGAATCCTCTAATGGGATAGGGGACCTCTGTTGTGATGGGGGCACCTCTGATGCAATTGGGAAATCTCTGAAGTAAAAAGGGCACCCCTGATCGGATCGGGGGCATCTTTTATGTGATGGGGGCACCTCTGATGTGATGGAGGATCCTCTGATGTGAAAAGAGCACCTTTGATTTAAAGGGGGCATGTCTGATGTGATAGGGGATCTCTGAAGTGATGAGGAAGCCTTTGATGAGACAGGGAACCCCTGGTGTGATAGGAAAACATCTGATGTGATGGGGGACCTCTGATGTGATGGGGGAACCTCTGATTTAATGGGGCCACCCCTGATGCAATGGGGAACCTCTGATGTGATGGGGGTACCTCTGAAGTGATGGGCACTACTGATGTAATGGGACAACCTCTGCTGTGAAAGGGGCACCTTGATAGGATGGGGGATCTCTGATGGGATGGGAAGATTCTGATGTGATGGGGGCACCTCTGATGTGATACAGGAACTTTTGATGTGATGGTTGGCTTCTGATGTGATGGGGAACCTCTAAAGTGATGGAAGCACCTCTAATGTGATGGGGGAACCTCTGCTGTGAAAGGAGCACCACTGATGTTATGTGGGACCTCTGATGTGAAAGGGGGGACTTCTGATGTGAAGGGGGAATCTCTGATGGGATGAGGATCTCTGATGTGATGGGGACTTGATATGATGGGGGCACCTTTGATGTTTTGGGGATCGCTGATGTGATGGGGGAACCTCTGATGGGATGGGGCCACCTCTGATGTGATGTGGCAACCTCTGATGTGATGGGTGCACCTCTGATGTGATGGAGAACCTCTACTGTGAAAGGAGCAACTCTTATAGGATGGGTAAACCACTGATGTGAAGGGAGAACCTCTGATGTTATAAGGCACCTCTGGTGTGATGAGGGACATCTAATGTGAAGGGGTTCTGTTGATGTGACGATGTGATGGGGAACCTATTATGGGATGGGGGCACCTTTGATGGGATGCAGATACCTCTAATGTGATTGGGAACCTCTGAAGTGATGGGGAAAGCTCTACTGTTAAAGGGGCACCTCTGATGTGATGGGTCACCTCTGTTGAGATTTGGACCCTCTGATGTGAAGTTAATTTCATCAAAACAGTTGTGTACATTGTCCAGACTTAGATTTCCCATTGATAAGTAACATTTACATTTTTTAGACTGGGGTGCCTGAATTTTTTTTATATTTGTGTAGTAACTGAAAAAAAAATGTGTCGAGAAAAACTGACGTAGTAAACCACACCGGTCAGGAAATTAATAGCCGGTAAAGGTAAATTTTCCCTAGATAGATGCTGCAGATCTCAGTCCTATGAGCTCCCTCCATCCAGTGACAGATGAGAAGCAGGAAAGGTGACAGAGGACACTCAGGTTCCAGAGATGTGACAGATGACAGGCAAGACTGATAGACAAAAAAAAGAGAGAACAGTCAGCCAAAGTTGGGGAAACTGTTGGCAGGAAACTACGGGGAGTAAACTTGAATGGGCCCCCCATGCACATAGGGCCTCTGGGCAGTGCTGACAGATGACAGGCAGGGGAGGTGACAGCTGACAGTCAGGGATATGACAGGCTGGGAAGGTGACAGATGATAGACAGGGATGTGACAGATGATAGACAGGGATGTGACAGATAACAGGCCGGGAAGGTGACATATGACAGCCAGGGATGTGACAGATGATAATCAGGGATATGACAGTAGACGAAGTTGAGTGTGAGAAGTGCGGAGGGTGGTCCCGTCGTCATGCAGTGGGAGCCCCCCCTTCCCTTCCCTCGCCGTGTGCTGTGCTCTCCGCCCTCTGTACACAGCATTCCTCCGAACACTTCCAGCTCTGCATGAAGTCCGGGACCTGTTAGACTGCGGAGAGATCGGAGAGCGGCACATGAGCTGACAGCGGCACTCCAACATGTTCTGCACGAAGCTGAAGGATCTGAAATTGTCTGGGGAATGCCCCTTCTCTATGCTGAGCCAGCCATCGGAGGACGATGAAGTGCCGGCCAGTGCGGCAGCTGGAGCCCCGATCTGCAGCGAGGAGTCCGGCGTAGTGCGGCACCGAAGAGCCGCCGAGGAGCCTCCGCAGAGGAAGAGCAGCCGCACCAGGGTCTACCTGCACACTTTAGCGGAGAGCATCCACAAGTTAATCTTCCCCGAGGTAATCCACACTGATTTCATTTATTCCACTTAGCACCCCAATCAACTCTTCTCACCAATCCCCCTCCTCCCAGGGCTGTGGCATCTAAGGGGTTAAAGCTACATCTTCACAGCAATCAGTTTACAATGATTCTTTATTAGTTCTATTTATGTATGTGGAATAATCAATATTTCTACAGTCTAAGTAAAAGGAGGGAAAAAAAGTAGTTCTAAAGCTGGCCATACACAGGTAGGGTGAGCGACAAAAATCGAACAGCTTCCTCCAACCATGTTAAACAGCGCAGGTTGACGGTTCTTCCGCTACGGCTACTATGTTCTGATTTGGATCCGGGTGCTGTCCGGATGACAATTTTCCACCTGGCCCCTTAGTTTTTTCTTTTTTTTTTTTTAAATTATTGTTTTTTTATTGGTCATTTGATTGTTTACAACAATTAACAGTATTGTCGCAATAATGTATTACAGGTTTCTAAAGGATATAGATAACAGAGTATGAGCATATTCAACATCTTACAAAATTCAGCTAACCCTTAGTTTTTCATTTGAGGGATGTAGGGTCGGTGTGGGGTCAACAGGGCTACCCACAGATTGAATTTTGGCTGGTTCATCAAAATTCATTCCATGTAGGGCTAGCTTTGGATCAACAATAGGTGCATTTTTGTGCTGCAAATAATATGAATGCAATGGAGTTGATTTACTAAAACTGGAGAGTGCAAAATATAGTGCAGCTGTGCATGGTAGCCAATCAGCATCTAACATCAGCTTGTTCAATTAAGCGTTGGCAATAAAACCTGGAATCCGATTGGTTTCTATGCAGAGCTGCATCAGATTTTGCACTCTCCAGTTTTTGTATTGTTAAGAATGTGGTTTAAACACTGATCCAGTAGTCCTATTAAAGTAGATGTAAGCCTAATCACTAAACTCTCATAAGCCTTTTCATTTTAATGGCATTAAAAGCTGGACATACACTATAGAATCATATTATACAACCCCCTTTAGATCAACCATCAACTTTGCTTGCCTGATTGGATACAAATTAAATGGATTGTTTAGGATTGCCCTATAATTTTCGTACATCGAAAAAGGATTTGCTGAGATTCTGCAATCTGATAGTATTGTGAATAGCCAGTTTTAAAACAGAAGTAAAGAGAGATATACTCACCTTTCCTCCAACAGTTCTCATCCCTGTGCCAGCACAGGCATCTTTAATCTGAGTGCCAGTTTTCAGCCATCTTCATGACACCACTTCTGCGCACGCGCAGGAGCTAGTCTTCTAGGTACACAGGGATCAAACTGGCACTGACAGTTGATCTGTGCATGTGCAGCTCAGTTTATATAGCAGAGAATGCTGTGAGCAGGCAGGTAGGTGCATCCTATTGTAGAAGATACAATGCAAGTTTCTTCCGCCATAAAGAACCTGCCTGCTCGCTCAAGCTTTAGTTCGGCTTTAATTTTCATTTCAATCTTTTTAAATCTACAGCTTTCATTAAAGTAATGCGTGCTGCTCCTGTCATGACGTTCCATGTTCAGGCACCTTATATAAGATGGCAACACTTTCCCTGTTTACCAATTGTGCCCTTGTGTTGTCACCAGGGGCGGACTGACAACTCATGGGGCCCCTGGACAATAGGGGATCATGGGGCCCCTGTGTCCTTGCCCAAACTCAAAAAAGCCTATGAAATAGGTACCAGGGGCATCTCATGGGGCCCCCTACTGACCCCGGGGCCTTGGGCAGTGCCCCAGTTTCCAAATGGTCAGTCCGCCCCTGGTTGTCACCCTGGCAGACATGCGTCTGATGGAAACTCGTAGTGCGCATTACACAGTTATGGTCCACTGTTGTCACCATCAGGCAAGCCACCCTGAGAAATGAAATACAGCCATTAATTTTGTGACTGTAGATAGGAAGTGATTGCAAAGGATTTGTAGGACACCAGCAGCACTGAGATGCAACAAAGGATAAAAGGGGTAGTTTATGTCAAACATGGTAATGGTTTGTGATAGTCGCTGTCATCTACTTAACACTCCAGGCATTTTGCTGAAATGGAGAAATAAACACTCTGGCAGCCAGCGCCAACGTCTTTCTCAGCTGTATAAATAGGCAATGTAGCCAAGCTCCAAAGTACAGCTAGTCCTCTGCCTGGATGGTGTCTGTACATAATGTAGGTGCATTATCCATCATTGGTCCACAGTGTATGATTATACAGATGTTAACCTCTATGGAGGTGATGTATGTCAGCTGCTCAATTGTTTCTATGTGTTTTGTCCATTCCAATTAAGAATGATGTGTTTTCTGACAGCATACAAAAATCAATGTACAGCGGTGCACAGAGCAGACGCACAAAGTGATGCGCTTCTATTGGCATGGGTGATTTTTGACGTCATTGTGCAGATGTGCATTTTCCTAATTAACATTTTTATTGTGTGATAGATGTCTAAGGGTGCAGCTCAGTGCGAGTTTACATATCCACTGCTTTCTACAAGTGCAGGTCTGTTCAGGTGCACTGTTCATTTTTTTTAAGTGATCTCTCCTAAAATAAACGGAACGCACTTTCTGCTGCCTTCCTGTGATTACACAGTGTGCTGGAATATTTACACCAGATGTTCTTAGGGTTGCCTGCCTGACACCGTTTTTCCTGATGTCGTTTGTCATTTCAAATATGATCTTGTTCTGGCCAGTGAGTAGCAGATGCAGATTTAGGTGTGTGCGAGGTTGTATCTGTGTTCATCCTTCCTTATGGCTTGTTTTGCAGTTAGCTTAAAAATGACTTCTCTTATCATTATTATAGAGCTCAGGTGCTCAACTTGTGGCCCTTTGTCACTTACTTGGCAGCCCTCAGGGCCCCTGCAGACAATAACCTGTTTTTCCTTGCCTAAATGCTTGCTCAGTTCGGTGAAGAAGATATGTTCTTTAGACCAGCTTTTCTCAACCAGGGTGCCACTGCATCATGGGGTGCTTTCTAGGTTGCCCCAGGGTGCTGCAAGCACAGGACCCAGTTTTCTCTGTATTACCATCATGAGTTACCATGATGTGGGTGAGCCAGCCATCAACACCATAGCAACCAATGACGCTCTGGGGTCAGGACCCATGGCGCCAGTCAGTGCTATGATGATGGAGGCCAGCTCGCTTGCACCATTGCATTACATAACTATAATCCAGAGCAGGAAGCATGCAGGGCCACCCTTAGCAATAAGGGAAATATGGAAGTATGCCTTCTCCAGACCTCCCCCATCTTTTGCCCTGTGCTGCGCTGCTGGAACCAAAAGGTAGGGTTCTGATATGAAAAGGAGACTGTGTGATTTGGGGGCTCTGATTGGAGGGATGTGTGTTTGTGGGGCTCTGTGATGAGGGGGTCTGTGCAACTGAAGGCCTTGTGATGAAGGGAGTGTGTGATTGGGGTACTCTGTAATGGGGGGCCTCTGATGTGATGGGGAGGTTCTAATGTGATGGGAGGACTTTGTGATGGGGAGGCTCTAATGTGATGGAAGGACTGTGATTTGATTGGGAGACTCATGTATAGGGGGCCTCTGATGTATAGGGATGATTTTGATGTTATGGAGAGCTATAATGTATAGGAGGCCTTTAACGTATAGGGGGGAGTCCTAAGTGATAGGGTGCCTGATCTGATGTGATGGAGTATTTGAGGTGAAATGGTGAGTAACTCTGATGTGATGGGGTATCTGTCATATAATGGGGTACCTTTTATGTGGTGGGGGTTCTTTTAACCTCTTGGTGGCAGCCGTACGCATATGTGTGGCCGCTTAGTGTGTGGGCCTTAATGCTGAGTGGCCTCATATATGCAGCCTGTTAAAGCAACTTATTGTGCTGATAGCACACTCCCTGCATGGTAACCCGCGAGGATCGATAAGCTCCTGATGCATACTTGCAGTCGGGAGCTTTCTGATCATATGACAGCCAATTACAGCAGTCGTATTACCCAAATGCCTGCCTTTTAGAACTCTTAAAGGGCCGGGAGGCGGCCAAGGGGTTAAGGGGAGCTGTAGGGAGCACAAACTTGGAAGTATTGATTTGTAAAAGGGTTGCAATAGCAGTGATCTCTGGCAGTCTCATACAATGTGTCTCCAGTCTCAGGGGTGGACTGACAACTCATGGGGCCCCGGGCAATAGGGGATCATGGGGCCCCTGTGTCCTTGCCCAAACTCAAAAAAGCCTATGAAAAAGGTACCAGGGGCATCTCATGGGGCACCCTACTGACCCCGGGCCCTCGGGCAGTGCCCGAGTTTCCAAATGGTCAGTCTGCCCCTGTCCAGTCTATTACTTCCCAGTCTCTAATAACCCCAATAGCATGTTTGCAGTCTTTGACCATCACTTTGCATATACGCATAGGGGTGGATTTACTAAAACTGGAGTACTCAGAATCAGGTGAAGCTGTGCATGGTAGCCAATCAGCTTCTCACTTCAGTTTGTTCAATTAAGCTTTGCCAATAAAATCTGGAAGCTGATTGGTATCTATGCAGAGTCGCACTAGATTTTGCTCCCTCCAAGTTTAGTAAATAACCCCCCTCCGTATTTAAAATTCTTATTTTGCATATCTGTAATGTCTGATAGCTTTCTGTAGCAATGCATTCACTACATGTTGTGCGTGGCTCTTTGATGATTTTAGTGGCAGCACTTGAGGCCCCCTGAATGAAGAAGGTTGAACATCACTGGTATAGAATCACAATGAGCAGGGCACTTAGGTAACTAGAAGTAATGATATGCTGCAGTAATGACCTTTACATGGTCTTACAAGCACAATGATTAATAAAGGGGTCATGTAAAGCGGCCAACTCAACCAACTGCAGACCTTTACAGAAAATAGCCATAGTAAAGGAATATATATTTGAAATTAGCACCGGCATATAAGAAATGTGTGGTCTTTTACACTTCCTTGACATTATGGGGTTTTGCATGAAATTATCACTCAAAGAAACAAGTGTAAAATGTTTCTAATATTAATTATTCTTTCTTTATTATACAGGATTTACTGAGCACCAACAGATTTT